GTTACACGCTGTTACTTTCATAATCACGGCTGTGGTTCGTTTGCTGTTTTTATTTATGTAAATAAAAGCTTTTTTATTGTCATGCGTTGTGTATTGCAGCGCTTGCTGGTTTAATTACCCCCCACTCCTCCTCCTCCTCACGGGGATGAAGAACGTATATTTTATAAACTGAATATTACTTATTTGATCCTAGAACCTGGGTTTTAACAAGAGCTCGGACGATTACAAAAAAACGTAAAATGGGGCCGTTCTGATTTGCATTTGATCACAGATGTACTCGATCGCGGGGATAAGAGAAAGCTTTTTCTTTCGGGAAAGAAACGGTTCCGTTTTAGAGTCGCAGCCCAAACGCCTGCGCGGAGAGAGGTCGCCTCTGCGCAGCTGCAGGGCGGACAGCCGCTCGCCCTGCTGTCCCACGGTGCACCGCGGCTCCCCCGGTCCTTAGCCGGGCTGTCCGCGCCGACTGCCTGCCTGGAGTTTCCTCCGCATCTGTAGCCATGAGCAGCAAGTGGATTATCTACACGGGGCTGGTCGCGGGGGCGATGGGCACGGCCGTCGGCTTGTGGATGGTGACCGCCCCCGGAGAGAACCGCAGGAGAGAGATCTTGAAGGCAAGGGCCGCTGGCTTGAGTGTGTGCCCCTGTTTTCTGAACAACACCAGAAAAACAAAACACCCGACAGCAAGACGCTGCGTTAGAGCGCCGAAGCTGGCTGGGTCTTTTTTTTTTTAATTGTTAATTAAATGCATAAAGAATTTCCAAATACAACTAGCGGAGCCGAAACCAGTACAAGAGAAAAAAGACACCATCAGGAAAAACAAGCAATTCACTGCCAGAGATGATGAAGTAAATTATATAACCAAATTATTTTTTATTTTTTAGGTTTTTGCATATGTCAAATGTTAACTTGCCTTTGCACTTGATAGTTTCCTTATTAACGCGTTTACCCGGTGTCGGCTGGGGTTTGTGCGTTTCGGGGAGTTCGGGTCCGTCAGCGCTGAGGGTTCTCAGATTTCTGTTCTAGATGACCTCTCCGCTCCACACTTAAACCTGTCGCCTGAATCTACCCTTGATCCAGGTTGGTCGCTTTGTAACAGTGTAGAAACCTGCTAGACGGAGACCAAGATTACACACCCCTATAATTCTATTAAAAATTTGAGAAATAATAAAGCACGGAAAACATATGATATATGTAAGAAATACAATTTAATCACATAATTTACCTATTCCCTCTGGCGGTTAATTGTTTATTTTTCTGTTTGTGTTTGTTTTCATGTACCTATATTGATCCTCTGGTTGTATTTGTATTTGTAAATTCTTCATACATTTAGTAAAAATTATAAAAATAAAAGATTACACACGCCTATATAATTACTAGACAGATAATTAGTAGTTAGACCCTATTAGCCTCCAATTCCACAGCTGTCTGATCCACTTCAGGTTTTTTACACGCTGCTGTAGAAACGTGTGTGTATCCAACTGCTGTGCAACTGGGATTTGATTGTCACCGAGTAAACTCTGGAGTGGATCGGGCTGCAGTGCAATGGGAGTCTGATTGACAACAAAGTAAGTCCTGGAGTGGATCAGACTGATGTGCAATGGGAGTCTGACTGACAGCAGTGTAAAACCTGGAGTGGATCAGACTGATGTGCAATGGGAGTCTGACTGACAGCAGTGTAAAACCTGGAGTGGAACAGGCTGATGTGGGATGGGAGTCTGATTGAGAGCAGTGTAAAACCTGGAGTGGATCAGGCTGATGTGGAATGGGAGTCTGATTGACAGCAGTGTAAAACCTGGAGTGGAACAGGCTGATGTGGAATGGGAGTCTGATTGACAGCAGTGTAAAACCTGGAGTGGATCAGACTGATGTGGAATGGGAGTCTGATTGACAGCAGTGTAAAACCTGGAGTGGATCGGGCTGCTGTGGAATGGGAGTCTGATTGACAGCAGTGTAAAACCTGGAGTGGATCGGGCTGCTGTGGAACGGGAGTCTTGCCTTCCCCTCGTGATTTCCGTCTGCGCTTCTTTGCCGTCAGAACCTGCCGGAGTCGAACCCCGTGAGGCTGCAGGAGACGCGGCGGAGGAACGCGCTGGAGCTGCAGGTGCTGAAGGAGGCCGCGGAGACCAACGACAACGTCGCGCGGCGGTTCGGAAAGTAGGACGCCGCCCCGCCCCCCCAGTTCCTCCCGCGGCCAGGCGGGGGGGCGGCCGGGAGCGTCCGCCGGCTGGTCAGGGATACAGGACGGGTGCCTGGCCGACGCCGAGGAGGGGGCACCGTGATAAAGCAACGAAGAACCGCAGTTCTCAATCTCCTCTCCTCTGTTGTTCCCCCATTCCTCGTTTCCCTCTCTCCCCTTCTCCTCTGCTTTCCTCCCTCCATCTCTCCCCCCCCTGCCTCCATCACCCTCTCCGTCTCTCCCTTTAACTCTCTCCTCCCTCCATCTCTAGCACTGGCTGAGAACAGATACTGGCTCCTGTTCGGGGAGCTCCGGTTTCCCAGTTTCCATTCCAGCCCGGACTGGTACCGACCTCTTTTGAAGCAGCACCGGGTCTCTGTCCCCGCTGTCCCCACTGCCTGTGCTCAGGGCTGTGGGTCACCTGTACAACCCTGGAGTGAAGGTCACTGGACTGCAGGGTGCCCAAGTCCTCTCCCAGGACAGCTGCAGACTCGCCCGGTGTCTCAGCAGGACAGCTCCCAGTTCGGTAAACCAGTTAAGGACTGAATTGGTTCTGTTGAAAGTGACCTTTAGCCCCAGACAGTGCTGACTACGTAAACCCACGGATAGCAAATTCATTTTTTTCCAGTTTTGCTTCTCAACCTCCAGCGCTGCTGGATCTCTCCTCTGGGTACCCTGTCCTGAAAAGATCCAGCATCTCTGTGCTGTGTACTGGCTCTGTAAATATCGGATGTATTTTGTCATTTGCAAACATCGCATTTGTTTCTGATGTCTGTAAATCTGAACTGCCTTTACGCAGTAAATTAGGAATAAATAATAAATGATGACTGTCTTGCGTGGTTTTCATCCCTAAAGATCGTGATCATCGCATGATCGTGCTCTATATTGAATCTGCATAAGATCTCGGTGATTAAGGCACTGTATTTCCACGGGGCGTTTCAGTTAAAAACTCTTCTTTGGCTGCGCAGAAAGAAAAACAATCCGATTAATTAGATAATAGTCGTGATTCAGATAAACATATATTGATTAAGTTTGTTGGTGTTTGTTTTTCAAAAAAAGGCGGAGACCGTTTGGTGGTGGTGGAGGGGAGTCCCCATTACCTGTAAAGCGCTTTGAGTGGAGTGTCCAGAAAAGTGCTATATAAGTGTAAGCAATTATTATTATTATTATTACTGACTTTTAAGAATCGCCCCCTATGCCGATGCGGCGGAACCAATGTCGAGTTGCCACACGTGTGCACACGGACACATAACGGAGACGCTCCTGGTAGACAACTTCCGGGGAGTGAGGTGTGTTTTTTTTTTGCTTTGCTTTGCTGGAACGTCTTCCGGGGAAGGAGGTTAAAAGCCATTTGCAATGGACTGGGACGGTTAGCGGGAGGTCGTGACTGCTCTGGGGACGTTTGTTTGAAAGACAAGTCCTGTTTTTTTTCTGGTTAAAAACAGTACGCTCTCTCCTCATGCCTCCGAGGATTTATGAGTTGCCGGACAAAACCCCCGCCCCCATGTTCGGGGACTGCTGGGGCTGCCGGGCTGTGTGCGGCTCGGGGCTGGTGTCGGCCGGCGGCATGGTCGTCGCAGCCACCCGCCGGTTCCTGGGGGGAGGCCGGCCGGCCTCCATTGGGGTCGTGGCCCAGATCGTCTTCGGGGCCAGTGAGTGGGTTTTTGGTTTGTTATTGTTCGGATAAAAAGGTTTTAAGGAAAGGTCCGGTCTCTGTGAGAGACCGGGGGTGACTCGGAAGGGTGGCCGGTCACTCAGTGGAGTGAATACTGCCGCCTTTCACGAGCCCGGGGCTGTTCGAGTAAGGGTGTTAATCCCCTGTCGTGGCTGTACCCCTCCCCTCTGGGCTTGACAGCCGGGCGTCTCTTGATGTCGTGATCCTGAATTCACCAGGTGAAGCAGTTTCTCTCTCCTCCCTCTGATCTGTTGTGTAGTGGGGGGCCGCTGGGGCAGAATGAACACTGTGCGTCTCCCAGGTGGGGGCTGTTGGTGGGGCTGCTGGTGCAGA